CGGTTCTTTACACGTTACCTGTCTGAATACAGGGTGCCTACTCAATGGAAACCAGCAGGACCATGTTATTGTTCAAGAACGTTAACCTACACGATATCGGCAATTATCGCCCAATCTGCTTGCTCTCTGTCGTCTACAAACTTTTTACTTGAGTCATCTTAAACAGGATTGACGGAACACTGGACGAAGGACAGCCATGTGAGCGAGCAGGGTTTCGAAAAGGATTTAGTACGATGAACCACATCCACACGATAAAAAGGCTCATTGAAGTATCGCGAGGAAACAAAAGACGCTTTGTCCCACTTTCATCAATTTACAAAAGGCCTTTGATTCAATTGAGATAGAAGCAGTCATGGAAGCCTTTGATAGTCAAGGAGTCCCCACTCAGTACATAAAGATTCTTCGTGAGCTGTACAAAAATTTCACAACCAAAATATTGCCATTCTACAACGATATTAACAATGATGTCAAAAAGGAGTCAGGCAAGGCGATACCATTTCGCCAAAATTATTTACCGCTATCCACCAGAACGTCATGTGAACATTGGAATGGGATAATATGGGTGTGAAAATCGATGGTTGGCAGTTACATCATTTTCGCTTTGCTGATGTCATCGTCCTTATAACACCAAACATTAGCCAAGCGGAACGTATGCTTGCCGGCTTTGATAAACCCAATGGAATGATTGGTCTTCGACTAAATCTCACAAAAACGATGTTCATGAGGGACGGATTGGTTTCGTATGCCCCATTCACGCTCAATGGAACGATTATTTCCGAATGCTCCAGTTATGTCTGTCTAGGTCGGGAAATCATTATGATGAACGGCTTAGCAGCAGAGATGAGCAGATAAAAACGAGCTGCTTGGGGAGCTTTCAAGAACGTCGAGGATGTAGTGAAAAGAACAAACAGCACCCGACTACGTGCCCACCTTTTCGACCCAACGGTACTTCCTGCCCTAACGTATGCGTCTATCGAAAGCGCAGTCGAAAGGACGGTGCTAGGAGTATCCCGTTTCATGCAAGTAAGGGATGGGATCCGAAGCTCCGACCAGCGTCAACTATCAAAAATCAAAGATGCTGTTCTGTTTGCCAAACAGTCGTAGATAAGGTAGGCTGAACACGTAAAGCGTATGAATGATAGCCGATGGACAAAAGCCGTTAGTGACTGTATTCCTCGGGATGTCAAACGTACTGAAGGAAGACCACAGACCCGATGGTCAAACTTTTTTACGAAAATTCTAGAAGAAAGATATGTTGTTCTACAAGTTCCCAGAGCAAGCGGAATCCACTAGGCTACTCTTGCACGCGACGGGGAAAAATGCGAGATTTACTGGTTCTCGCTCAAGTCACTCGACGATCAGCGGGACTACAGGTGGTACAGGTGATGGAAAAGTGTGTTGATAGGAGAGAAATGGTATGAAAGAAATAAAGTTTAGAAAAATTTTTATTTACTAGGAATATACATTTAGTTTATGTGTTTGTTAGTGTAATTCTTCTTTGAAAGACCACAAAATAAGTTTATTACGGTTGAGCTACATGTAATGAGAGCCAATCATCAATGACCACTGATCCGTTTCTTCTCTTTTTTACATGACGGTGATCCAAACACTGCGCAGATTCTAGCACTTCTGCCATTCCGTTCGGTATGTTGTGTCCATCGTTCATAGATATGCCAGGATACGTGTGCGGGTTCCCCTCTTGAGGATTTCGTTTTCTTTACGAATGTCGTTAAATGCTAGTCGAGATGACTCCCATGGGTTCCTGGATAGCTGCCCTAAAGCGTTTCCACGTCTTTACCAAAACTGGTCTTCGACCTTTGTCGATTTGGAAAACTTTTCCTAAAGAAGTCGGGTACCAGTAAATGCGAGCACCAAGCATTGTTGGTCCACGAAAGGGTTGAACCACCCATGTTTATTCAACAGACCGTTTCAAAGCACTGGACTTACCCCGCTCATTCTCTACCATTTATCTCAGACATATCAGCGCATCAGTCAACGTACGAGCGCTTTCGTTGATATTACGGAGGTTGAGATGATAGGTGATGCGGAACGGACGAACCAGTGACTCGTTTTTTACGAGTCAACCGCCATTACACTGAACTAACTAAGCGTTTATAATTTTAGTGACTGCAAGTAATTAAAGTGGATTTAATCGCATTTCTATATTTGGGCCTTCAGCTACTCATTTTCCTTTCAAAGGTTTACCGCCTCATCGCGGAACGGAGGTGTTCCTGGGTGTCGGACAACGATGTACAGCGGGGTGATCTGGCACCTCGGCAGGGTCTCCCAAGTTGAGAAGGAGTCCGGCGTTTCCATCAGGAAACCTAGCTAAGAGCAAACCAATACCAGGTTCCGCCGCCGTTCTGGTATTAAAGTCGCATGGTGGCAAATCTCCTTCCACGTCCACGAGAGCTGTGATTGCCCGTGGTGGTGAAGACCTGGAGCAGACTTTGGCCAGGCTGACTTCAGGATTCCAGAGAACCACAATGGCTTAACCAGGAAATCACCGAAAAGTGATGATCATGCTGAGCCCCGAACAACCATTGAGGACGGGCCATTTTAGTATCGAGTATCAAGTATGCTACTCATTTTAGGCACTCCACTCGACAGCTCACGCTTTTCTACCGTTCCCGTCGCTCGGTCAGCCTCTCTTTCAGCCACCACCACAACTGCTGGTTAATGACAGTGAGAAATTTCGACTTCTATTGAAAAAATAAATTATTTTATTTTATACATATTTTCGTTAACTTGCGAAATTATAAGTTTTAAATTAAAAATCTTTACAATATGATGGATTGTTTCAGTAGAACGATTTTAAAATGCAAGTACAGGTATCCAGTCAATTTTGTAGTATCTCGTTTTTCACTATTTCTGTAAAACTGGTGAAGAAGAAGGTTGTCCACTTGTGAACATTGCGAGCAATAAAAACGCTCGTGGGTTGCTCTTTGCTTTTTCTTCTTCGTCACTAAAAGGCTTTTTTCACTAAGTCATCCTTTCCTTTTTGGGAAGATGCGAAATTAGCAGTACAATATTTACTTTAACCTAGCTAACGACTCACAAGCTTCGTCTTCATGAGAGACCGGGAAGGTTAAATCATCAGCAATCTAATCTGTTAAACAGCAAACTTTCATAACACCAATACAAAAAGCGTGGTTTTCGAAATTACTGCTCATTTTTTCAATTCGTCGTTCTAATATGCCCATAGGGAGTGGAAGCCACAATGGTTAGAGGTGTTGTGAACTAAGAGCAAGGCCCGGGGTTCGACCTCACACCGCGTGAAACGAGCATGTCATTTTATGTGATTGGCAAATTGCGAACGGATCTCTGTATGACAAGGTTGCTTCTGATTCACAAAGGCAAGAAACTGTCTCTGTGGTGAAGAAACGGTAGCGCTTCAGGTGAACTATTCTTGAACTCCACAGCTGATCAACTCGACTACTTGTCTTCGAAATTATTGCACATTTTATTCAATTCTTCGTTGTAATATTCCTGTAATATTTCTAACCAATATGTAATCTTTCTTTGATAAGCTTGCACGAGGCTGATGAACATTCTTTATTTCCGGCTAACGATTCGACGGTTTCGTCTTCATCAGAGTCGGTGAGTCGAGTGGGTGTTCCGCAGTTGTTCATTTTCTCGAGATGGCATCTTCTTCGTGCATCGAGCGGTGTCTTCCTCAGTGGAGGGTCTCTCTCGAATCAGCTACACTCATTCTGCGATGCCCTTGTGTAGTGGATGGTTTTTATCGACAGCGGTGATCGTCCGGTAATAACCACTGGTTTTTACCGGACGATCCATCCTGCAGAAGTCGTCACCAGCTGGTATAAGGCGTAATAAGGTTTCAAAACCGACTTTCCTTCAACCTCTGTATGACCAGTCAATATATATTCTTTCTTTTATAAGCTTGCACGAGGTTGATAAACATTCCTTATTTTCGGCTTCTACACTTACCGACTTCTACAGGATGGGTTGTCCGGCAAAACAAGCGGTTATCACCAGACGATCACCGCTATCGATGAAAACTATCTTATATAAAGGGGCGTCGCTGAATAAGTATGGCTGATTCGAGAGAGATGCTCCACTGAGGAAGACACGGCTCGATGCGCCACGAAGACGCCATCTCGAGAAAATGAACAACTGTGGATCACCGACGCGGATCATCAGCTCTGATGAAGACGAAAACGTCCAAACGTTAGCCGAAAATAAAGAATGTTTACCTGCCTCGTGTAAGCTCATCAAAGAACGATGCGTATTGATTAGTCATATAGAGGTTGAAGTGAAGTCGGTTTTGATATAATGTTCCCAATATATAATGCTGAGATATTTGCAAAACTCCGGACCGCAGGTGTATGCGGTGGGGAACGAACATGCGCTGTTGTCCTTACCGGGTAGCAGGCGCACTTTACCACCACACCATCCGGGTCCTTCGTCTTGCCTGTCTCTCAGCTAGTTCTATCGGTCTTTTTGCCATCAGCATTCACCCGTCAACAGGATTGATCTGAGGAGTCCAAATCGGCATTGAACCCAGTTAGGCTGAGGCTTAGTTATAATCACAATCTTAACCTTTTTATTTACTGCCTTTTTTCTTTTTAATTCCAGGGTATGTTGCGAAATATATGCAAATATCTTAGCTTTATATACGAGTTATATTTGCGTATATTTCGCAACATACCCTGCCATTAAAAAAAAGGCAGTAAATAAAAGGGTTAAGAATGTTCCCAATATTTGGACGTCTTTGTTCAGAGCCTCGTGTCGTTTCCTTATAAAGGTTTTAATAACCTCGTGTTGACTTAGCAATGAAAAGTTTTTAGTTTCAAAAAAAAATGCAGCTATTGCAGATTTCTGTTCTTCCATTTTTAAGCATTGCTAAGAACAACTACAGTCTTTTACTATGAGGTTTGGAGATTTTTTATTGAAGCGAAATTTTTTGTGAAACTGTTATATTAGGTTGCGATCGGAACAAACAAAGTCGTACCTACAACCCAGGGCGTCCACTGAGTATGGGCGATCGTGAAAGAATTCTACATCTATACGAGAAGGGTCATAAGATCAGCCACATTGCGAAAATGATCGGCGTCACACACAGTTGTGTCTCGAAAATCATGACGAGGTTAGTGATAGATTTCAAGGTTCTTTGATTGCTTAGGAAATTAGCTAGTGCCGATAGGTGGAAGAAAGCTGGACCACAACGTCATTGACGAACAACTGAAGTTGCAACTTACATTTCTTCGATAGTTGCCACAACAGTCACCGTGCAGTTATTAACATTGACAGAGGAAGGAAAGCGTTTTTGGATAAAGTACGAAGTGCTCTTAAATATCCTCCTCAATACAAGGACGAAAACCCTGAGATATGAGCAAAGTAATAACCTCTGCTAGGCTTCTAACCCATGGTTAGCTTTTCTAGACGTTCAGATACTATCCATCACGTCAATCTAGGCCCTTGCTTTGCCTTTTCCTCAGCCAGTTTCTCTCCCTCTTTCCATACACCTCAATATTTTCTGCATGTGTGCCACTAACTAGGCTTAATGCGTCTTTGTGTGTGTGTGTGTGCATGTGTTCATGTGTGCTTGTGTGCAAAGCCTAGTCGCATTTTTATTGGCCATCTTTAACACTATTTTTATAAGCTTAGGAAATTTTTTTGAATTTGAATTTGAATTTGAACTGATTTTTTAGAAATCATTTTGATAACGAGCCATTTCTTATATTTACTAAAGACATTAGTGGAAAGGCTTAATGAATATCGTTTATGTCACCTACCTCTAATAATTGAAAATAACGGTAATTTAGTTTTCTTCCGGTTCCAAATGCTTTTCAACCATCCTCAAACTTTTTTCTTGAAATGGCTGTAAAATTTAGCGGCTTTCTAAAGCTGCAGTCTTCGTGCAACAGAATAGCCCCAGGTTTGGTTACACAGCGTTAGTGAAAAATTTTAGCTTGGAGAAGAACAAAATAGCGAAATATTCTCGTATGAATTTAATCCTAGAAAGAGGCTAATCTCTAGTACGCTAACCTTCATGAAGCAAGTAAACTAGATATTTTAGCAAAAAGCATTTTAGTGTGTGCAATTCTATCGCACTCAGATATCGTCGTACTGGTTCGATGTGTCCACGTTCTTTCTCGGTGGGGTTGCTGACGTTACGGCGAAATTCATTGGATCTTACGGAAAGTGGTTCCGAATGCGGTGGCAGTAGCTGTTCAGAAGAATGGAACCCACTGGAGCAGTGTTCACGTCCGCCGGCAGAAGAAAGTCTTCAGTCCTCATCTACGTTGACAGCGAACGACCGTAAAGTACCGAAAGACGAAAAGCCCACTGTTTCGTCATCGTCATCAACTGCAGTGAAAAGTCCAGCATATTCGATAGAACGGTTAGTGTTAAACGTAAAAACGTAATGCCACTTATTAGAAGAAGGCTGGTTTAGAAAAGACAGAATCTGATTGAAGTCACTTAAAAATGGGCAGTTATAAGGTCCTTTCTTCCGTCGAACACAATTTTTTGTGATAAGAGGATAAAGCTTTCGGGCGTTGATCAATCCCTGAAGGATGCGCCATGCATTCGACTTTATTTAGCAGCGTTGGAGGTGACTGAATGCATATCTGGTTTTTACAATGACTTGTAACGGCCTACCGATGTATCGAGCCAGTGCTGCTATCCTTCCAGATAAGTCTGGTACCAATTTGCCGACCCGGGAGGGATGAAAGGCTTTGCGGGCCATGGGCGCAGTGATCGATTCCACGTGTGTTGCAGGGCGTCTGCAACCACTGCGCTCCTAATTTTTATGATGAAATCAAAAATTTTTCGCAGTGAAACGATTATAGGAGAAAAAAATCCATTAGAGCTAGGGTGAAAAAGGTGACAAAGGTAGGACAACAATACTTACTCATTTGATCCTTGAATGGCCCATCCTCATTGCTTGCGCGTGCCCCAGCATAATCTCCATTTTTCGGAGATTTGCGGCTAAGCCATTGTGGTTCTGTGGAATCCCGAGGTCATGCTGGCCAAAGTCTGCCTCAGGTCGTCACCACGAAAGGCAGTCGCAGCCCTTGTGGATCAGAGAGAGATTTCCCACCATGCGGCTTTAGTGCCTGGAGGGTGGTGGATCCTGGTATTGGTTTACTCTTAGCTAAGCTTCCTGATGGAAACGCCGGACTCCTTCTCAGCTTGGGAGACCCTGCGAATGGATGAATCCTCCGCTGTATATCGCAGTCCGACAACCAGGAACACCTCCCATCCACAATGTGGCGGTAAACCGTTGGGAGGATAGCACAGCAGTGTGACAAAGAAAACTTAGCATAACAGAAAATTTTCAAATCGAAAAACAGAAATTAAGAAAAATAAATTGTAACGAAACAGCTCTTTCCGATTGTTCCTTTCAAGATATTGCATAATTTAAAATCGATATTAACTGTGAACGTTGAAACAGTTCAAAAAATTTTTTACTCAGCATATCCCAAAATTATTTTCTTCCGGTTTGAAACCAAAGCAGTAGTTATGTCAACAAAGTTTGAATAGCCCTTGATTTGTACAGTTACAATGATGCTGAGATATTTGCAAAAATTTGGACCCTGCGCCAGCTTCTAGCACGTGATTACACTTTCCGGAGGCTCATGTGTTATCCAATGTCCTTGTTCTTTCTCTAAAGTGAGGGTTTCCTTAAAACAAAAAGTATGTGATATGGAGTCGTGTACATAGTTAGTTAATTAGATAGTGCATTTTCACAAGTTACGCACGTGGCCCCTGTCCAATTTGCATTCGTCTCCTTGGTGCTATCATCCAAGGCGGTAGTCTACTCTGAATACAATGACGTCTGCTAGACTCATTCCGCTTTCCTAAAAGCGTTTTCATCTGCTATTGTAGATGGTTGACGTTAACCACGAATACGTCCACCCATCATTCGGGTGGTCGTCCAAAGGGACGCTTGCATTCGTTCGGAGTCCACTACTATGCTCACTTTATCAATTTGCCATATTATCTTGGAACTCGAAGATGAGGCAGGTTTCTGAAGATCTGAGATGAGCATTCCAACTACACGTTGTGAGCAGCAGTTAAATCTCAGAATACATTGGCCAATTACGTTGTGGATTAGACGCGGAGTTCTTGAAGTGATTTAATTATCATCCCACATCTCTGTTGCATGACAAGCGTTAGAAAAACTGTTGAAACGAAAAGATCAGCGCAAAGTTTTGGGTTCCTTAGTTGGTCGGAGGATTTTGTCGGAGGCCCGAATGTGGCCTGTGCTGCTTTCCTTCTTCATGTTGTTCTCCATGCTCACTTAACGCCGAAGGAACGGGTACATGGTGATATTTTTAGTCACGGAACTGTTCTGATCGATTTGTTTGCCTTCCCACAACAGGTCTTTTATGAAAGGTCTTGCTCAAATTTAAGCGTAGTCCGATCCTTTTTCCTGCTTCTTTGAGTTGATTGGGCATCGTCTCTGCGTAATCCTCAAAAGGAAGATGATATCACCAGACGAAGATTTAGGAATTTTCCATCAATATACGCTCTTATCTTCCTAGTCAAATAACTTTATTATACACTACAGTACTGCAGCATACAGCTTTCGAGAAACTGTATCGCTATGGCGAACCACTTTTCCTATTGATATGGTGAGGGACTGATGAAGAAGCTGTGTAATTGTGCCGTGGTAATGGCAGTGTGTTTCGATCCATTAAGATCTAATTCCCACTTATTTTGATACGTAGAGATCAGATGTATTGCCTTTTAAGCAATTTAGACCTTAATGGATCATAGAACTGTTTTCAGTCTCTACTAATCTCGCTAAGTTTCTTTACAATGCTGCGATATTCGGTGTCGGTCGAGGTAATGGTAATGGTAATGGTGCCGCAGTTCCGATAACAGTATTCAATTGTTCGCGTATTGAATGGATCCAGTCTTTTTTCTATCAACGCACTGCGTTCGTTTTGACGTTGTGAAACACTTTTTCGTTGGGGTTGAAAGTCAGGATTAGGGAGAGAAGGTGTTCCCGACAGATTTCTATGACCCTCGATGTGGTTTGGACGTGGTCTATGCACGAGAATCTCTGTCGGAATCTTGCTTGCTCAACTGCTTTTGTCTCATCCAAGGGCTTTGACACATGCAGAGAAATAATCTGCGTGAGCACCTTGTGGAGTGGAATAAACAAGCATATTGGGCGCTAATTATTAAGATTCCTTCGCTGTCTGTTTTTGGGTATGATGGCCATCTGTGACATTCTTCACTGGCCTGGAATTTCCTCTTCCTATAGCTAACATCCACGAGTCTCATCCATACGGTGGATCTCGAGCCGGTTAGTGCAAAGCTACGTGTCGCGTTTCCAGCTGACGGTAAGGGTTAATCGCTGCCTTTTTTTACTTCGTACTACTTTATACCTTCTGTATTGACGAGACGTATTTATGTATGCTACCAGTCACGGTACCTACGCAAAGCTACTCTTCAGCGTAAAGCAAAACTGTGCATTAATTTCGAATTCTATCACAAATTCTTCTGTCGCGTATATTAGCACAATAGTCTAGATCGAAACCAGGAAATATCTTCTGTTTTCTTCTATTGGTCAGGAATAACTCGATCTAACGTAGGAGCTGTGACTGCAAAAGTTCTAGCCCCGTAAGGGACTCCAACCTCTGACTGTTAGATTAAAAGTCTAGTGCTCTACTAACTGAGCTAACGAGACCCGAACAACGCGCAAATCACGATACCTACGCATGCCAATCTTCAGCGAAACGCAAAGCTGCGCATTTATTTCGAATTCTATCAGAAATTCTTATGCTGTCAAGTTTATTACCACCATTGTCTATTGTCTATGCGTGAGTGGGTGTGTTTTCGTTTATGCGGATTATATTCTACGAGTTAATTCAGCCGAAAGCCTGCCATCAAGGGACAGCGCAATATATGGGAGCCAGTTAGGAGTCGCCTCCAACAGATAAGCTGCACGTCCACTTTAGGAGAGACTGCCAAGCTGCCCGTGAGTTAAACCAGCCTCCATGTCTAGAGCTCAGCAAGCTATACGTGAATGTCAAGAAGCTAAAGGCAGTAAAATAAACGGGTCTCATTCTCCTGATCCCGATTGAGCCCCGATTCGGCAGCGTTGAGTAGGAGGAGTACGGAGAGGCTGCTAAAATCTCAGGGTCATGCTATGCTG